GCTGCTGCAGGTGGTGCTGCTGGGAGTGCTGAGCCTGCGGGTGCTGGGCCTGGGGGTGCTGCGACTGGGGGTGCTGAGCCGGCGTGTGCGGAGTCTGGGGGTGCTGAGTCTGGGGGTGCTGCGACTTGGGGTGCTGAGCCGGCGTGTGCGGAGTCTGGGGGTGCTGAGTCTGGGGGTGCTGCGCCTGCGGGTACTGAGCCTGGGGGTGCTGCTACTGAGCCTACGGAGCCTGGGGTTGCTGCGTCTGGGGGTGCTCCGGTTCGGGGTGCTGAGCAGTCTCTCACACCACAGCAGCTTCGTGACTGGTACGTCCGGCGCTTTCGCCGTCCTCGTGGCTCGGCTGGAGCTGGGGGTACTGGAGCTGCCGGGACTGGTTGTTCTGGGAGCACTACGACTGGAGCTGCTGGAGCTGGGGACTCTGGCGCTGGCGGCGTTGTAGCTGCCGACTCTGGGGGTGCTCTTCCTTGCGGTGCTGCGGACCCTGGGGGTGGTGCTGCTGCTGGTGCTGCGGACCCACCTGGTGGAGCTGCTGCTGGAGCTGAGGACCCGAGCGGTGGCGCTGCTGCTGGTACTGGGGACCCGGACGCTGGAGTCTCTTCTGCTTCTGGAGACGCTGCGCGGCCACGGCCGTACTTCGTACCGCTCCTTCAGCAGGTTCTTGGGCAGACTCCTCCTCCTTGTCCTCCTCCCTCCGTAGAGTGTCCTCCACCTGTCCAGCCGCAGTCACAGTTACCGCCTACCTCGCCTCTCCCTGCTCCCTCTCCTTACACTGGTCCCACAGGAGGTCTTACAGAGCGTCGTGAGCCTGAGTCTCGTCCTGCGTCGCCTGTCCGTACTGCTCGCACTGGTCGTCGTGTCCGTCGTGAGCGTCCTCCTCCTGTCCCAGGCACTCACTACATGACTCTGCGTCCCTCTACTGCTCCTCAGCGTGTCCCTCTGCCGTCTCCTCCTGCGTCCTCTTTGCCTGCTGTTCCGGACCCTGAGTCTGACCGGTATCGTGCTGAGCACCCTACTGTCACGCGTCTCCTAGCTACTGTTGTCACTGACCCTACCTTTGAGTCCTCTGCTGCGTCTGCTCTGGTCGCTGAGTTGGTTGACTTTGCTGCTGCCTGTCGTCTAGACTACGCTGCTCGCCTTGTTGCTGGGTCTGAGTCTGCGTCTGTCTGTCCTCCGTCCGTCGGGGGTGAGTGTGCTCTTGGCACGGACGTCCTTGAGGACAGGCAGGAGGACTTTGACTCTCTCGCGGCTGCTGTACCTCATCTCGTGGCCTCGTTGCTTGCCCCTGAGGGAGACCCGGATGCACTAGACATCCCCACTCCGCGCACTTACGCAGAGGCGATCTCGGGTCCCTACTCCTCTCAGTGGCAGACAGCCATGGACGCAGAGATGGCATCCTGGAAGTCCACAGGCACCTACGTTGACGAGGTTCCCCCTTCTGGGGCGAACATCGTCGATGGCATGTGGATTTTTAGGGTGAAGCGGCCGCCAGGTTCTCCGCCTGTCTTCAAGGCTCGTTACGTTGCTAGAGGCTTCAGTCAGCGTCAGGGGGTCGACTTCTTCCAGACCTTCTCCCCCACCCCGAAGATGACCACTCTTCGGGTTCTGCTGCACGTTGCTGCTCAGCGTGACTACGAGCTTCACTCTCTTGACTTCAGCACAGCGTTCCTGCAGGGCAGCCTGCACGAGGAGATCTGGCTGCGCCGCCCACCTGGCTTTACTGGGTCGTTTCCTCCTGGTACCCAGTGGAGCCTCCGCCGGCCAGTCTACGGTCTCCGCCAGGCGCCACGCGAGTGGCACGACACACTGAGGACTACACTTGCGGCTCTTGGGTTCGCGCCGTCTACTGCTGACCCGTCGCTGTTTCTGCGCACAGACACGTCGCTGCCGCCGTTCTACATTCTCGTGTACGTCGACGACTTGGTCTTTGCTACTGCTGACACTGAGGCACTCGCTCGTGTGAAGTCGGAGCTGCAGAAGAGACACACCTGCACTGACCTGGGTGAGCTGCGTAGCTACCTTGGCTTGCAGATCACCCGGGACAGAGCTCGCCGCACCATCACCCTGACTCAGTCACACATGGTGCAGCAGGTCCTTCAGCGCTTCGGCTTCCAGTTCTCCTCACCACAGGCCACACCTCTGGCTACCAGCCACTCGCTCTCAGCTCCACCTCCGGACGAGTCCGTAGAGCCGAGTGGCCCGTACCCAGAGCTTGTGGGCTGCCTCATGTACCTGATGACCTGCACGCGACCTGACCTCGCGTACCCTCTTAGCATCCTTGCTCGTTACGTTGCGCCTGGGAGACACAGGCGAGAGCACTGGGAGGCTGCTAAGAGGGTGCTGCGCTACTTGTGCAGTACATCAGGCATGGGGCTGGTGCTTGGAGGACGCGACAGAGTTGTCCTCACTGGCCACTCGGACGCTTCTTGGGTGGACGACCTGGCTACGCAGCGGTCGTCACAGGGTTACACCTTCAGCCTTGGCTCTGGCTCTGTCTCGTGGCGGTCCACCCGCTCTTCCTCTGTTCTCGGCTCTAGTTGTGAGGCTGAGATCTACGCCACAGCCATGGCTGCACAGGAGTTACGCTGGCTCACCTACCTGCTGACTGACTTGGGAGAGCGGCCTAGTTCTCCTCCAGTTCTGTACGGTGACAACAAGGCAGCTCTTGCCTTGTGTCAGGAGCACAGACTGGAGCACAGGACGAAGCACATTGCTCTTCGCTACTTTCTTGCTCGAGAGCTTCAGCAGCGCGGTCAGCTTCGGCTTGTGTACGTGGACTCGAAGGCCAACACTGCTGATATCTTCACCAAGGCGCTCCCGCCTAGTGATCATCAGCGGCACTGTACTTCTTTAGGCCTTGTGTCCACGTTTCCTCACTTGCTCACTGCTTGACATTCTTTGTACTGTACTTTATATATATCTTGTTGCTTGCTTGCTAGGTTTTGATCACTGTGTTGCTTGTCTTGCACTATATCTAGCACTGCATGTGAACTGGCCTTGTGGCCTTTGCTTGTGCTCGGAGTGTGGTGACGTTGTGATCCACCCTGGGCTTTGCTTTGCTTTGCTTGACTGGTCTTGTGACCCTTTGTTCTCCCCCACTTTGCCTATGGGGGTGTGTTAAACTGTATTATGCTTGTAGGCTGTAGTGGGGTAGCCAATATGGGGTACAACCCCAACTAGGGTTTCATATTTGTACCCAAACTTCTGCTAGTTCAACCATTCTTGCCTCGTTATTCTGAAATGTGCATGTACGACGTGCGTGCCATACGTTGTTGTTCACGCTTCTTGAAGCCAGGCGCGGAGGACTTGCTCAAGTTCTTGAGATGCGCGCCACTATCTCACGGGTCTGCGACTTGCCATCGCACAGGTCTGCTACTTACCATTGCCAGGAAGCCGAAAAGATCGAGCAGCAGCAGTAGAAGCGAATGATGCGAGAGTGACGGTGAACACAAGTAGGAGAGCGAGGGTAGTAAGCAGGCGCGCCATGATTACAAGTAGTAGTTAGTGAGAGGATGGAGTGAGTCCAAGAGCTTCGAAGTGTACTGGTGTTGGGAAGGAAAAAGGCGTGGGTCCTTCCTTGTATGGCGTGAGAGGGCGGATTGTGGTGGATTTGAGTGAACGGGTTGAAACGGAATTTCTCATGCTCGGCGCGGTCACCGTCGCGAATCGCTATCCTCAGCAAATCAGCATCGAGAAGTTCGGTGGAACGCGTTCCAACCATAGGCCCTGTTCGCCACGCCATTGCTTGGCCTTCAAAGGGATGGGCGGGGGATCCGGAATCCGCCCTGCACCTTCGAAAAGGGCTGAAATCAGGGTTTTAGGGCCGGTCAGATCGACAAAATCCTGTCGAGCCTGACGATCCCCTCCGAAACTCGGTGGGCTCGCTCTCGTGGCGAACACCCACTTTTCTGGGCCATCGAAGGGATGGGCGGGGGATCTGGAATGCGCGTGGCAGTTTCCTGCCCTGCCAGCTAGGAACCCCATCCCCTCCCTCGCCTCTCCCTCGTGCAGACCACTAATTTCGGGGGTTCATCCCCTTACTGAAGAAAATTTTCCCCTAAAGGAAGGGGGGAGGCAGGCGCTAGATCCCCTTGTCCCCCTTCCTGATCCCATTGGCGAAATTTCAGTCGAGGGCGAGCCCCCCCGGACGTATTTCGCAACTTCCTTTGCACCTTCTGGAGCCCTCGCCCATCCCCCGCCCCTTGTCTATAACGTGGTCGTGGCGAACTGGGCCATAATTCATCTGAATGAGTCGCTTGACTACGAAGTGGATCTTGGGTGGTGTGGTGTGTTACGCACGCTTCTAGTGCGTTAAATTTGGATACCAATCGGTTTTCTTGAATCGCAAACGCTTATGACCATTATTGATAGCGTTCACAAGTCGTGGTGTTTCACCAGCCGTACACATTTCTCTTTCACCCAGACTGCCCGAGCTGAGACCCGTTTCCAGTTTCAGTAGTGGTTGTGGGAACTGGGAACAGGAAAAGTAAGCGCTAGCTACGGGGAGTACCTCACCCAAGTCCAGGATCCTGGTTACAGGTAAGCATCGAATTCTGAATCTGCACTGAGAGTCTGATTTCGAGAAAAGTATTCCAGATCGAAATTTCGTGAGTCTGAGTTTTACGTGAACCATCTACCCTTCAGCAACCGCCGCTTTGTGCACATCACCAAGAAATATACTTCACTCTCGAAGTTTACGCCTAAAAAACTGTTGGAATCGCCGTGAGATGCGGGGGAGTCTACAAGAAGTGAATTATATCAACTACATGCCTAACAAATATACAGAGGTTCAAACTACCAGAACACAAAATCCATGATTCCATAATTGCACAACCCTTGCTCACAACTTGCACAACACATTCCAGTCTCTAGCAGTCTCGTTCCAATAGATCAGATACAATGTGATACAAAATGACATTTAGGAATCTAAGAACCCATTTACACAAGACACACCATACCCACAATCACCCGCATAGAGTACATGATCACAAGGCTAATAATATCTATTGCAGCAAGAAGAAGCCCTCTCGTCTTTCCCCGCCACTACTACATGCTTCCAACCTTCCCCCCCTCCCCACCCCCCCCCTTCCGTGCTGCTTGGAGTTGCACTTTGCAGCTGTTGGATCTGCAGAGAAAAGGAGAAGGTAAGGAGGTTTAACCAATCAGTTGCACATGCACACAGGGGCGCGGTGGGCCCCACAAAGGCTCTCCAGACTCTGCCGCGTTGCAAAGGGAGAGCTGCTATGGCCTTTCCAGCTTGTCCACATCCCATGCAACTGGTGGGTAAGACCGGGCTGGAAATGAAGGCACATGCGACAATACTTAAAAGGAAGAGCCCGCATGCCCTCTCACCAACGCATAGCACAGGCACCAAACAAGCATAGCCCAAGCACCAACATGCATCTCGCACTCACCAATAGCCCAAACGATTGCATTCCTCAAGCTTGCCCGGACGTTCAGCCTCGCAGCTCTGCTTCTTCGAGTCTCTGTACTTGAGAAAGATGCCGAGAATAGGAACAGTAACTCCCGTGCAATCCGTCTTCCTCCAATCAGAGCACTCTTCTGCAAGGGGTGAGAGCAAAGGGGAGACTGTTGAGTGGACTTCTTCACTGCGGAAACGGGACGCCTGAGAATGAGCGACATCAAGGGATGCAGGAGCAAATGGACGGCTGAGATTCACCGCAGATATGAGCTGCGTTAGGGTGCACCCTGCTGCAACAGTCCCTGACAGCCAATGCTGTCCAGCCTTATGGGCAGCACGGAGATACCAGCTCCTTTTATACAGTAACAGTAGAACATAAACAGAAAACAGAAACAAAAACAAAAATGAGTCATTCCTACTCTTAGTAAGAAGCTCGCGGCGGCGACCCTGCTCGTCCCCCGCGCTGGGCTCAGCAAAAATCGGCGCGCTCTCTGCCGTGATGGCGCCGCCGGTGTTGTCTACCGCTCCCGACGCACCTGCAGCCATGCCATGCCGACACGTATATTCGCGCATGTGACGAGGGGACCGGGGAAAGAGTGAGGGGAGTGATGATGTGGCGGGAGAGAGAAACAGGCGGATCTATCGCATGGAGCTAACCTCTCGCTTCTCGAGATGCGCGTCGCCATCGCACGTGCCTAGAGATCGCCCAGGGGATCATCGGCAGTCATGGTCGAGGTCTGCTACTCACCATCGCCGGTAGTCATTCCGTCGCCAAGAAGCCGACCAGATCGAGCGGCAGCAGCCGTGGAAGCGAGTGATTCGAGAGTGACGGTGACGGCAAGCAGGAGAGCGAGAGCCGCAAGCAGACGCGCCATGATTACTACTAGCTAAAGAGGATGCAAAAGTTGGAAGCGAGTGAATCAAGAGCTTCGAAATGTGGGACTGGGTGAACGGGAAGAAAGAAGGCGTGGGTATTTGTGTGGCGTGAGAGGGCGGACTGTGGTGAGTGTGAACGGGCTGAAGTGCCTTCACATTCACCACAATCGCAATGTCAGCATCGCGAATCGCAATGCTCAGCGAATCACCGTCGAGATTTTGGGTGTGACGCGTTACGACTATAATTCACTAGGATAGGTCGCTTGACTCACAATGGATGTTGGAATGTGTGGTACGCTACACACATGTTCAGTACGGTTAAGAGAGATACAAGCACTTTGCTCGAATCACAAACGAGTACCAACATAAATGATCGCGTTCACGAATGACTCGGTGTAGTGCTTGACAAGCGATACATTTCTCTTTCACCCTGACTGCCCGATCTGAAAGTAGAGTGGGAACTGAATCTCCCAGCGAAACTCCCGCCAACGTCCATACCAGGCCTGACGATTGACGGGCATATGCCCTTAATGCCCTGACATTAAGGGCTAGTTTCGCTCCAGCTCCAATGCGTCAAGTTTTAGATTCGCACCCCACCCGTGCCACTAAGTGCTTCGTTCGACCCTTCCCCGGATGCGTTAAGGGACGAAACCAGGCCTTCCCCTTTATCTAAGTTTTGGTTTCCGATCGTAGGACCCCCCATCCCCCCAGGGTGCCTAAGACACCCCCCCACCCCCCTCTTTCTCCTTAGTCTGCACGAGAGCGCGCGGAGGGGATTTTTTCCTTAGCGTTTTCTAGCCAATCTCGTGTGTGTAGTGTGTCTCAGTCAGCCTTGGAGCACCCGAACATTCCCTTAGCGTCCAATACGAGCTGGCCGCAGTTTACAGCAGTGACGCATAGGATTAGGTTTGCTGAATTTGGCTATTGGACACAGAGAACTCCAACACACTTAACCAAAGAACGTCAAAGGAACTGAAGCACTCTGGCGTAGCAGCTCCCTCACTTAACCAAATACAGTGTGTGCAAACTTCGCACATGCCCGGATTTCAAGTTTTCACTTTGGGGTGCGCCCGTGCCCGTTAAGGGCGCCAAAACGCTCACCTACACCCAACCAAGGGTCAGATGGGGAGGAGCTGGGGAGCGCAAGTACGAGCCCCAGAAACTTCGACAGGCCTGGTCCATACCCATGAGCAACCGCCACATCGTGAACATCACCCAGGAAAATATATGACCCCAGTGCTCAAAAACTGTTTGACAAGCCGTGAGATGCGGGGGCAGGGGGACTGATAAAAGAGAGTTATATGAACTACATGTTTCAAAGTTGATTTGCTTAGCAAAACAAAATAATGAATCAATCAATCCTCTTCTTTCAAGCCTCAAGCATCTGTGTCTCTCTCCCTGTTAGCGTCTGTTTTGCTCCTTCACAAGTATTGTCGGATGCTTTCTCCTGCATGGTCCTTTCTCAAACGGAAAGGGCTGGCGGAGATTTCGCATTTGAGCGCTTTTAGACGCTAATCTGGTAATATTGGAGGTAAGCGTGTTATGAGTTGTGAAAGAGAGTGCGCAGGTAAACGAATAACGAGGCTGTGACTGAATGAACTGAGAATACAATGAATGCACAGACTAATGTAGGGCTAGCCTAGCTAGGAGGAAACCTCGGACGAGCGAGGTTGGGTGCAGGTTTGGCGATGGGAATGCCGAAGGCGACGCGAGGAGCCTCGGCAGCGTGGAAATCGCCCGAACGTGCGAACTCCGAAAATCGGGTTGTACGCGCAGCAGTCAACCCCGATAAGGAATTCGAGAAAATTCCTTACACCACCCCCGCCCCCCCTTTAAGAAAGGCGGTCAATATCCGAAACACGCCGGCGCGCCAAATAATCACCAACAAGTGGCGAGGCGTCGAGCGAGTTGGATGGCACCCACGTGTCGTCCTCACTGGTGCGATCAGTCCAGCGGATTAAGAAATCCACGTGTCGGCCAGCTGCGTCAAGCCAAACCCGATGTGCCAGAATCTTCGAAGGTTCGAGGGTCGGCTCCGGGACAGGTCGCGCTGTCGGGGCAGCTTGCTGACGTGCGATGTCGGTCGTGGCTGGCACGAACTTGCGAAGCAGGCTGACGTGGAAGGCGTCATGAATTCGCCAGTCGTCCGGTAGCAACAGCTTCGCGGTGACAGGTGTCACCATCTTGATAATCTTGAACGGTCCGCAAAATCGGGGCCGTAGCTTCGATGGACCGGGCAGGTGCAGGTTCTTCGTGTCGAGGAGCACTAATTGCCCAGTAGTCAAGACGAGTTCCCGGCGTAGAAGGTCGGTGTACTTGCGGGAAGTGATATTCGCCTTGCGAATTGCGTCTGCGGCTTTTTCGCGGATGTTCTGAAGTTCCGTCACAAAAGTCTGTGACCTCGGGACCGGGTTGTCGAGCGTGGTTACCGTGGGGACCGTCGGATCCATCCCGTAATTTAGGAAAAACGGGGAGTGATTAGTCGTGCTGGACGGAGCGTTGTTGAAGGCGAACTCCAACATGGCGAGGGAATCTTCCCATCGTGCGGGGTCGGGGCAGTTTGTCCGTATCAGCTGCTCCATCGTCTGGTTGGTTCGCTCGGTTTGTCCGTCCGTCTGTGGGTGGTATGCCGATGAGAACTGTAGCTTCGTGCCGTACTGCGCCCACGTCTCCTTCCAGAATTTCGACGTAAACTTCGGGTCTCGATCGGTGATGATCGCCAAAGGAATGCCGTGCAGTCGCACGACCGTTGAGATGAAGAGGCGCGCAGTTTCTTCGGCTGTGATTGTCGTTCGGCATGGTGCGAAGTGCGCCATTTTCGTGAAGCGATCGACGACGACGAGTACAGCGTCGTTGCCGGACGGCCCAGCTGGCATCCCCGTGACGAAATCCATCGTCACTTGCTGCCACGGTCGTTCGGGTGGCTCGAGGGGTTGCAGCAGTCCGGCTGGTTGCTGACGTGTCGATTTCATTGCTTGGCACACCCTGCATGAGGACACATAGCGCTGCACGTCGTTAGAAGAATCAGGCCAGTAATATTGACGGTGCAGTAATATCAACCCCGAAGTGTCCGGAGTAGTTCGAATCGTGGACCTCCTGGATGAGGAGTTCACGCAGCAGCCGGTAAGCGGGGACCCAAATCCTGTCGGTGCCGGCTTTTAGGTAATAATCCCCCTTCTGCGTCGTGGCCTGCTGATGATTTCCTGTCGTGAAGAATGGGTCCGTAGTGTAGCCGTGGGTAAATAGTTCTGTAAGTAGTGGGTTCGAATGGGTTATCAGTTCAGCAGCGGATTGTACGGTCGGTCTGGTCAGGGCGTCGGCGATGTTATTCGCCCCTTTCTTGTACGTGATGCGGTAGGTGAAGTGGCTCTCCATGTAATCCAGCCACCGAATTTGTCGCGGGTTGAGGTTGGGCTGAGCTCGCAGGTACTGTAGGGACTTGTGGTCCGTGCGCACAGTGACGTCGGCGCCCACCAGGTAGCAGCGCCACAGTTTAAACGCGTGAATTATGGCGAGCATCTCCTTGTCGTGGATCGGGTAGTTGCGCTCGGCAGCTTGCAGCTTGCGTGATTCGTAGGCGATCGGCTGCAGCCCGTTCCCGAAATCCTGGAGAAGCACTGCTTCTATGGCAAAATCAGAGGCGTCGGTTACGACTTCGAACGGCTTCGATGGGTCGGCGATGCGCAGCACAGGAGGGGAAACGAGAAAATTCTTGAGCTCCTGGAAAGCCGCCTCTGCTTCCTCCCCCCACACGAAATTCTTGTCCTTGTGCAGCAGGTCGGTCAGCGGGCCGGTTATCCCCGCCATATTCGGGATAAACCGCCTGACGTAATTCACGAACCCCAGAAAACTCTGAAGTTCCGTGATGTTAGTCGGGGACTTCCACTCCTGAATAGTCTTGATTTTCGCCGGGTCGATTTTGATGCCGTCGCGTGAGATGACGTGCCCCAAAAACTCCAACTCCTGCTTAAAGAACTCGCACTTAGAGCCCTTGGTGATGAGGCGGTTCTCCTGCAACCGCTTAAACACTGCGTCGAGGTCGCGGAGGTGTTGTTCTCTCGTCTTGCTAAAAACCAGGATGTCGTCCAAATAGACGATCACACACTTGTCGAGAAATTCCCGGAAAATCCTGTTCATGGTCAGTTGAAATGTCGAAGGCGCGTTCGTGAGGCCGAAAGGCATCACTGTGAACTCGTAGCTTCCGTAGCGGGTGCAAAACGCAGTCTTGTGACAATCGTCGGCGAAGACCCGAATCTGGTGGTAACCGCCACGTAAGTCGATTTTCGAGAAGTAGCGAGCGCCGCGAAGTTGATCGAGAAGGTCGTCGGTGCGTGGGATTGGGTAGCGAGATTTGATGGTCACCCGGTTCAACGCGCGATAATCGATGCACATGCGAAGCCCGCCGTCCTTCTTCGGAGTGAACAGGATCGGTGCCGCGAACGGGGAGGTGCTCGGCCGAATGAACCCTTTCTCCAACAGTGCGTCAATTTGTCGGCGCAGCTCCTCGAGTTCCGGCTGGGTCAACCGCCACTGTGTCCGAACCGTTGGGTGCGCGCCAGGCTCCAGCTGGATTTTATGGTCTTCGGGTCTCTCGGGTGGCAGCCCAGGTGGCAGATCGTCCGGGAAAATGTCGGGGTACTGTCGAATCAGCTCCGCTAAATCCGGAGGTACAGCTGCACACAACTTCTCTATGTCCTTTCCGTCGGTGTCGACTGCCAACTCGCGTAAGCAGACAGCGAACAGCTGCGCGCCCCCGTTGAAGTGGCGAGCTATAGTGATAGCTTTGACGCACGGGGCTTGGATGTAGTCAGGTGTCCATGCAGGCAACTTAATTAGCCCCTCGTGCTTGCTGACGCAGCACGATCCCGTTGTCCAGTCGATGACGGGG